TCAGCAGCGACAGCGGCTGAACTGCATACCTCGTCCCGTACATATTTCCGGAGAACTCTGCGTGCTCGATGAATTCACCAGCATCGATTTCTTTCTGCATTTCCTCTCTGGTCACAAAGTGGTAATCTGGATAGGGAAAACAGGAAAAAGAATGAGAAATTAACCGCTTTGAAGGTTTCCTGGTCAAAATGACACCCGTGGGTGCTTAGGGGAGAAGCACCTTAAAATCTGCTTTGGAAAACGTTGGCAGACAGCAGCTGCCTACTTCCTAATTACTGCGTACAGCATCCCCTCTCCACACCGACTGCCCAGACACCTGCTCAAAATGGTTTGGAGCTTTCTGTGCGGCCAGACGCGCTGCTGGGCCCCCTTTTTCATACCCTTCCCCTTGCTGGTGCAGGGGGGAGCTCCCCCCCTGCTCCCCACAGGTGTGGGACACATTACAGCAGGACTGCCAAGGCCCTCAATTTGAAAGCATTTATGATTAAAGACTAGAACGGGATGAGAGGGAGAGGGAGATAAAAGGGAACATCAAAACCAAGCAAACTAAAAAGGAATGTTTCTCTTTCGTTAAAATTCCTCCCTTTCACTTCAGAGTGAAAACTGCCGTCGGAAATGAAGTGCAAACCTCATTTGATTCTTTCTGAAATACGCAAACAGACCAGAAAACAGAAAAGCAGCTGGCCAGCTGCACACAAGCCATTCATACAGGCAAAGGCATCTCATTAAGCAGCTGCATTTTCCAAAGCAGCGTGCGTTTGAGGTACCTCACCAGAGCTACCTGACGCTTTGAAAACCAAGCCACTCAATGACCAAGTACGGACGATGGCGCTTAAACGGAGAGCCCCGCTTTGAAAACCCGGGCCAGCGAGTCACAGAGATGGCGTCTAGAAAAGAAAACCGGCAGCACACGCGCCGCCTCTGTTAACATTTCATCACTTAATTAAATTTTGGGTTTGTTCTGCCAAATCCATCCCTCTTCGTTATCTTTTCACCAATGCATGGCAAATGCTGTGGAACAGCGGTAAATGGCTACGGTCTCATTGCCACTGAAATAAAGAACAAAAGTGCTCGTACATATGCATGTTTATATACACATATACATGCACATACACACTCTCAAATATATCCTTACTGAATGTCTGCCTGAGGAAATGCAGCCTATAAACATAAACGTGGGACTAGCTTATCTGCCAATGGGGATTCATGCATGCACTTCACATAAAAACTTAAAATTTTTCAGAGGAATTATTTGCCGAGTCCGATGAGACAGGCCCAACCGTAACACACTCACCTTTGCCATTCACTTCTCCAGGTCTTGGCTGCCTTGTGGTATCTGTAAGCAAAAACCAGCTTTGTAAATTTTGTAGATCACCCAAGGAAGTAATAGTATCAAAGAAATAAAAGCGCGTACGCAGCCGATTAACCAAATCACATAGTAAGCTGATCCTCTATTTAAAATGATCAAAGCTTCTGGAATCAGCTGGCATAACACACAACGACATGCAGGACTGGCCTTTAATCGAAGAATCCTAGATAATGTGAAAACAAGCAATTAAGATGGTTAGGGGCTGAGCGGTCAGTGCGGGACTTAGCAGGCTGGGCTTAGTTTTCAGCTCTGCTACAGCCTTCCTGTGGAATCCTAGACACATTATTCGGACCTCAGTTCAGGGGAATTAGTGGTGCCCTACTTCACAGAGTTATCTTCATTTTAAAAGATCGTGCGGCACCTACGTAGGTGCTTAAAATAGCCAGATTTAACGAATAAGGGCAAACTCCTGCATAAGGTAGGTGAATAAACTGGACAGCCTTTGAACCCTGTTGGAAGTTGTTCAAACTAGTATTATTTTAAGCACGTGCTCTGCAAACCAAAAAGGAGCTGATGGTCATCGTGGAGGGCAACGGCGATTATTTTATTTAGGACTGGCAGGAGTTAACTGAACGCAGTAGGGCTCTGATCACCTGTTAAGTTTTTATAAAGCACCAGTTGCCAAGGTCTGAGTGGCCTATGGAGATTCAGGGAAAAAACCCCTTGGGGAAAGTGGTAAGATTTAGTTTGGCGTGAGATGAGAGATTCAGTTGATTCAAGAGCATAGGATGAAACAAAAGGAAAGATAATTTTAAGTTTTTTTTTCCATCTCCAGTAACATTCAATTTTCAAACATACAGTATCCGCTCTTTCATGGTGGAACGAATCCGGATCTCACAGATCTCAAAGCAAGGATTTCACTTGAAGCATCCAAAGCGTTAGGACAGTAAAAAACATTTTGGTAATGTACTTGCAAAGGTAACACCTTGCAGAGCTCCAGGGAAAAATCAGGCAAATGAGCTGCGGACACAGCCCAGGCTCTGTGGGTAACCTTTAAGGTGCCGCTCAAGAAAAAGGAAACTAAATTAGTATTGCAAAAGGCGAGCTGCCTGAAGAAAACTCCCTGCACTTACTCTGTTGTGGACGCAGGAGGAGTTGAGCACTGCCTGCAGGTGGGCGTGAGTGGACCGAGCCGGCTGGCCAGGGGTTGTTTTCACATTACAGGGAACCATCCCAGGTAGAACAAAAGGACCCTTGGCCAGCGCTTAGTGACCGACGCAGAAAAAGTCAACAAACCACCAGAGCGAGGGCGGGAGGAGGAACGTGCGCAGGTGATGGGGCGAACGGTTTCACTGACTGAGCCGGTAACGAGACAGGCTTCACGAAACTCTTTAATTTTAAATCTGAGACTCTGGTGTGCAGCCCCTGGGCTGTGAAAAGCCCCTGGGCTGTTAAAATCCCCATCAGCTCGTGCAGGTGGATGGAAAGAACTGGCTTTTGAAGCAGGGGGCGGGAGGGGCGGATTTTGTTACTTTCAGAGTCAAGAATCACTCAGAAAAAATCTCATCACCTCTCTGAGCTGTGTTTAGAGGTGTGGGGAGTCACCAGACCTGGAAAGGGTGCTATTTCCAGACCATACCAGTAGTAAAAGGCACCCTGGCTTATTTAAACATCCCAAAGAGCCCACAGACAGACTAGGACACAGGCAAGCCATGGAAGCCCGTTATTTGGGGCACGAATACAGGTACAGAAGCAAGCTCTGGGCTAGCGGCCCTGAACTCCTCCGCTGCCCTTCCCCAGAGACACACAGATACTCACGGGAGACGCTGAAGCCAAAGATGTTCTCATAATCTTTAAGCAGTTTCTTTAACAAAGTGCTCTTGCCTGCACCCGATGGGCCACTCAGAACCACTGGTCTCGGTCCCTGCATGGCTAGAGAGACAGAAAAATACACGTCTGGTTAGAAACACCCATGAAAAAACACAGCTACGGATTGCCAGGCGTGCTCGGCCCCACAAAACAGCAGCTATCCTTTACCCTTGGATACAAGTTTCTACAAGCAAATCTGAAACGATGAGAAATCACAAGCCTGGAGCTGACAGGAGGTAACTGAGAGTGCAGGAAATACCAGGGAAGTTCAAAGAACTATTGAATTAGCAAACTGGCTGCAGACAGCGGGAGCTGCCACCTCTGTACTGCTGCAAAAGATCCGGGCTGGGAGCCCTGAGGACTCGGATATTGTTTTGGAAAGCAGACAATGGAGGCCACCAGCAATGCAGCAGGACAGCTTCACCTTGCTTTGCTGCTGGCGCCAATTCTTACCTGGGGAACAAATACCTGAGAGACATAAAGGACGGGTATCACCGCAGCATGAACACTCATTCTCGAGGGACTGAGGTTAAATTCATAGGACACAACCCAAAGGAGGAGGAAACTGGGCTTCAGCTGCCACTATACGGGGATAATTCAAGCCAGCTCTGTCCTAGCTCTGTTCTCTGGGACCCAAATCCTAGGGAAAACTTTCTCCAACAAGAGGAAAATGCTGTCTGTGCCTGGTGGCATCTGGAAACATCATGGGACATCCAGACACACTGGGCAATGCCAGCTTAATACTTGTCCTTACTGACAGAGGTACAGTCACAGCCACTTCCCTCTCGCGGGGAGGGGCCTCAAGGACTGTTTGCAGGAGATGCTGGCAAGAAAAAAGGGCAGAAATCAGCCAGCGTTACACATAGGCAGCTCCGAGTGAGGGATGGGATGCCCACGAGATCACCGCACCTCTTATGTTGCCCATTTACATCCTAACAAGTACAAACTCCGAACCTATGGCGGACAGTTAAATGTTTCCAATCAGTTTGGGGATAAATATCTACACGCAACCCCTCTACCGTAAGCAGACAACGTACTGAAGTCTAGACCCAGAAGCCCAGCACATCCTCCACCACTAAACCCCAAAGCCTTGCAACAGCAACACGGGTGCGGTCCGGGACACGGGCACGCTTGGGGGTTTATTTCCAGATTTCCTGGAGCTCTAACTCCAGCTGAAGGTGTCTCGTGGCGAGAGAGAAGGGTTTGGTTCCTGGTACAGGAAAAAAAAAAAAAGGCAGCCTGGGGCCACACAGACCTTTCTGCAGTTGTTTCTTCAGCCAGAAAGAAAAAATTGGGTGTTTTCATGTGCTTGCCCCTCTGGGGAGGAAGGAAGGTTAATTACCAACCTGTGAATAAAGAAAATCCTGTACGACAGCGCAGGGGGTACCACTGGGGACCCTCATCCATCAACAGCAATTCAGCAGCTTCTAAACCAGAGGTGATGACAAGAGCGGGACAAATCAAACAAGCCTATTTTTTCCTAGCTAATTTCTTATCCTAATTGTTTTTACAATTACTTTCCGCAAGCAGCAAAGCCCCTGGAAATGCATTTTTTTTTTTTTTAACCTCATCACTGGGTGTGGCCTCAGGAGCAATCAGCTGACAGACAGTATAATGCCTTTCCATTTTAAATTAGATCATAGCAATGTCACCCTGACCTTACAAATCACTTTTTAAACAGCCTTAAGCCAAATGCCGTCTCTTACAAAATCAGCCGCGGATCGTGCAGCTGGCTAATCTAGCCGTGCTGCCTCCCTGACCCCAGTCTGCGCGAGCCGGATACCTCCTCATCCCTAAATCCCTCCTGCGCGGCTCTGCGATCGCGCAGACCCCTATCAGGCAGCGCCACAGCTAGCAAATCACGCGAGTTTTCCCTCCGTTCCCTGAGGATGCTTTGTACTTGTCCGAGTTTATCCAAACCTGTACAAAAGGATGGGGTATTAATACACAAAGCCTAAATAGATGCCAGCAGCAGCTAATGTGGGTGTAAAAACACCCATGTTCAATCACCACCCAAAAGAAAACTGTCTTTTTTTTTTTTTTTTTGCTGTTAGCGTCCTCCAGGTGCTGCAGCCCCAGAGATCCACCAGACCAGACCTTCTCTGGGGACCTCGGAGGAGCAGTCGTAGCGTATGTGCACGGCCGTGTTGCTGAATTAGGCTCCATCATCCGAAAAACACGAGGCCAAACAAACTCTAGCAAGTCCTGCCTTTTCTTTAGCCCTCGAGGTTTGATAATTTCTAAATATCACAGGTTTTGGCTAAATGCTCAATACTGAAAGAGGAAAGCACACCCTCCCGCACCTCCTCACCGGCGAAATGCTTTTCAGCGCTTGCAGCAAGGAAGCAGAGGGGCCCTTGCCGAGTTGCCCAAAGCATCTCTCCCTCTCTTCTGCCCCCGCCAGCTCCTCTCACCCATATAAATAAAACGGGTGAGCCCTAACCATTGCTTGCGAAACACTCCAGAAGAGGAGCTACACAGAATTCGTTGCCTTCCAGTCATCCCAGCGCACTTTGCAACACGTTTGCTCCCAAACGATGCTCCTTCGTGGCCGGCCGCTTTCCTCAGCCACTGCCGAAAGCCCCCGCATGTGACATTCGGATGGCAGCACCGACTCCGTCCCAGCGTTTCACAGCTTCCCCTCCACCGTGATCCGGCTGTGCCAACAAGAATTGCTCCGGACGCACAAGTCCCGGTCCCTGCCTGCAGATCCCAGCCAGGACGCTCACATCCCAGCTAGAGGGAAAAAAAAAGCTTTCCTTTCTCCCTCCTCAAAAATTTCATCCACACTTTAGCAGGTACCGATAGCAAAAGGGGAACTTAGAGCTGCCTGAATCATGTACAATCATTTCATTCAACCCCAGACAAACCGGGAAGGGGTAAGAGGAACGGGCAGAGCAATAGCCGGGAGCACCCTCCAACGCATCCTTACCTTTTGCTTTTACTCCCTTTCAGCCAAGGTAGGAAGTCCAGCTCCTCGCAGCGCCGACAGGCTCGCAACACGAGCGAGCCGGCAGAAAGCTGGGCTATTTGTAAGCTGCCTAAAGCCTTAATTACCGAGCCGCAATTTTAAGATGGCCAATGAAAACCGCTGGCTGGTCTTTAATCTCCTCTCGTGGTTTCTTCTCCGCTCCCTGCTCTCCCAGCTGGTAAAGCTGCTGACGGGTGCCGGCACGTGCCGGCCCGGCGCTTCGGCAAACAGCAAAACCGTCCCTGTCTCCGCACGTAACCTCACGGATGACACGTGCCTGCTGTCACCAACAAACGCGTGCCCACAGACGCCAGGAACGGATGGGGTCTTAGACAGCCTCGATGCGCTTCGGGCATAAAACCCAGGCTGTAACACTGCTACGCTCCCGTTACACAGCCAGCGGTTGTGAGCTTGAGGCAACTCTTCCACGAAATCCCTCAATCTTGGTTTTAGCCAAGATTTCACCTTCTACAGACAACGCTCCTCTTCTTTCGGACTGAAGTCTGCACAGCTGTTGCCTTCAGCCACTGCTCTGCCTCAGCCCAACGACGAGGCTACTTATCCACCACGAAGGTGACAGGGAAACTCCTTCTCTTGCCCACGCAGATCCGAACCCAAGCCTCCAAACCGCACCGGCAGCTCCGCGGTGGGACCCTGCAGGGTCTGTGCCATCCCAGTGCTGGTGGTGCGTTTCGTAAGAGAGGGCATTGGAGGGGCGTCAGGGGAAGATGGAGATGTTCTCCTTTACCTTACTCCCTTTTTTCCCCAAAAATACTCAGAACTAGAGTGAGAAAAGACACAGGGGTTGCAATCACAGGTCTCACTTCTTTGGGAAATGGGCTAAAAATAAATGAAGGGACTTGCAGGTGCTTCCTCTTCCCTCCCTCCAAATGCATCCCTTCTCTTTTGCTGGAGATCTGCAGAGGAAAACAAGATGTAATTTAAAGGGAAAAAGCCCTTTCCACTGCCAGATGAAGGGGCTGGGCCCTCATGGGCGGCAGACGGCAAACACCCGGCTGGCAAACTGGGAATCTGTGCCAGCCCAGAGCAAAAACAGCTCCCACGGAGTGTTTTCGGAAGGTGCCCACCACCCGGCACAGTGCGGGATTTCGGGGGAAGCTGCTCGGGGATGGAGAGGTGAAGGGCAAAGACGTCCTGGGAGGGCGAAGAGAAGAGACGCTCTCTGCCCAGAGACGTGAGCAGCGCAGGGGTGGGAGCGGGTGCCCTCTCCTCCACCGTCAGATTTGGTTAAACGCGCGCCCTGACCCTGGGAAGCCGCTGACGACAACGAGCCGGTCTGCACACCACCGTCGCTGCCCTCACTGGGCTCCTCTGCTTCCCCGGCCCCCTCAAACACAGCTCCTCTCCCTCCGGCAGCCTGAAGCCCTCAAAAACCACAAGTAAAGTGCCAAAAAAGCCTGAGAAACCAGATCTGGTAGATACAGGGCTTTTTAAACCTCCTGTTGGGTTCCCAGCCCAGGAAGGCATTTGCACATCACATTTTCAAGCTGTTTGCAGCAGTAACATTACAGGTACGTATTTATTTTGAGCAGAAGCTCAATTTTTTTCCCCTTTGCTCAGATTTTGGCATTTTCAGAGCAGCCGATCGGCAAATATCTAGCACAGAGGGTCTCTCACCTCCACTGGGTTACTCCTAAAATAGTTTTGGATCCAGCCTAACCACCACACATCACCAAACCCACAGCGGGCTGGAGTCGATCGGCAAGAGAGCAGCATGGCTAATTAATAAAGATCCTCATATTTGGGGAGGTGCCACACCTGGGACTGAGGACAAACGGCCACGCAGACCCCGCCGGGCTGCAAAAAGACGAGGTGGTCACCAAAGGAGGACGCAGGAGGTTGTCACGAGGGCGAGGAACATTTCTCGGTCTGCTCCCGCCTGCTAAACTCACCCTGGATTTCAACTGGGAGGTGGCGACGCAACCAGTAAAGCAAAGGACAGACATCACAAGAGTTAAACAAAATTAATGCTGATTAGCAGGGAGGCTTTAAAGAGAAGGTAAAGCCCCCTTACAAAGCAGAAAAGAAGATTATAGGACAGTTTCCCTGGAGCCCCAGGAAAGGTCTCCTGGATTAGGATTATAATCCCGTTCCCTATTTTCAGCAGGTTCGGTATAAAGCCGTAACTCCCACATTTCTAAGTTTTGGGACAGGTTCTGAAAACCCAGCCCAGCTACAGTAACACAACAAAGTTTAACATTATCGGAAAGGAGGCAAACGCAAACATGGACCCACGTTCAGTCGGGGAACGGGTGGGCAAGAGCTCCGGGGCTCCATTTGCAGTTTCCCAACACGTAGAGACCGTGCAGGACAGCCAGCGAGTTGCTTAAAATAAAGGGAATTATTTGCAGTTACTGACACAGGAGCAGAGCATCCCCACCGCGGTGCCCAGAGCTGGCGGGACCGCTCAGCCACCTTTTTCCTGAAAACAATTATCGACAAAGTGCTAATGAGTCCCACCGCCGCCTGGTGTTGCTGGCTTTGCAGGGAGCGGTGATGCAGCAGGAGGAACGAGAACCGCTCGCTTAAGGTCACTGCAGAACTCGGCTGGGTCCTGGCCACAGGTGAGGCCAGGAGCCACTCCAAGACCTCGTCCCACCCCAAAACTGGCCCATTTTAACCAACCAACTGGTTTGAGCCAGTTTGCCCAGCTGGGTAGATGTCTACAGAGGCAAAGCTCAGACAGGAATGGTTTTGCCACCCGCTTCCCCTCATCTTCGTTGTGTTTCACCACGCAGAGCTTTGCTGTTGGATACCTGAGGGGTGCTTACCCCCAAACCCCTGTCTTCGCTCACCGTCTCCCACGGTACCCATGAAACCCAACCGATTCAGCGTGCGAATCCCCGTTTGGCTCATCAAACGGTGGAGGGGGGACGGGGACACCTCAGAGCCCCCCCCCCCCAAAGCAGCGCAGCGATGGGGACCCGGCGTGTCCGGAGGGACGGGGACAACCCCAGCCCGGCGGGCTTCCAGCCTGCCCACCGCCGTCCTGCGTGGACACAGCAGCACACGCAGGCACCGGACGGAGCTCAGCATCCCCATGCCGGCTAAGGGCCAGCCCCCGCCTCAGCCTGGAGCCTCTACGGCGGGACCAGCCCCCCGGGGCCGGCCGGACACCCTCAGCCGAGGACGCTTGTGAGGGGCCCAGCGTCCCGCAGCCGGCCGGG